CTAAGCAACCAAAATGAAGTATGAACGGCAAATAAATATATGAGAAAATGTCCAGCATCACTGATCATTAGAGAGATGCAAATTAAAGCACAGTGAAATTCCACCTCAGCCCAGAAAAAATGGGTATCATCAAGAATCAACCAATAACAAATATGATGAGGCTGTGGAGAAAAAGGAACCCTTGTCCACTGCTGGTGGGGGTGCAGACTGGTGCAACCACTGTGGAAATCAGTATGGAGATTCCTCAAAGAAATGGAACTACAGGTTCCTTTTGATTCAGTTGACTGTTCCTTTTCTGGGTATCTTCCTGGAAGAGTTAAAACATCTTACCACAGTGACATATGCACACCCAGGTTTATAGCAACACAATTTATAATAGCTCAATCTTGCAACAAAAAGCCTATATGTCCATCAGCAGACAAAAGCATAAAAAAGTGTGCTATTTGTGGAAAACCACTCTGCCCTAAAGAAGAATCAACTTCAGTCATCTGTAGGATGATGGATGCACTTCAAGACCATTGTCTTAAGTAAACACAATTGGATACCTAAGTTTCAATATTGGTTTGAGAAGCTCAAAGTGTAAATAAAGAGCATAATGGAGAATGGATACTGGGAAGAACATGTTCAAATGGAATGGGGAACCGGAGAGAGAGAAAGGGAAGGGAAGGGAAGGGAAGGGAAGGGAAGGGAAGGGAAGGGAAGGGAAGGGAAGGAATAGAAAAGGGAAAAAGAAAGTGGAAGGGAAAAACGGAAGCAAAACTTTTGTAAATGGGGGAAGAGGGGAATGGAGGAAAAAAAGAGAATCAAGATGTACTCTGCCCAGCTAAAAGTCCCCTGTGATGAATGTGGTCAATATATTTGACAAATACATGCTAATAAAATAATAAAATTAAGACAAAATAAAACAACAATTGTCCTTTGGCTGGGCACAGTGTTTCGTGGCTGTAATTCCAGCGACAGGAGGCCAAGGCAGGAAGATCATAAGACGTCGGCCTGAACTGCTTAATAACACCCTGGGTCAGAATAAAACACAAACTGTGCTGGGGGTTAGCTCAGCAGTGAAGTGCCTCTGCGTTTGATTCCAGCACCACAATAAACAAACAAGCAAATAAATAAAATCGCCCTTTAGTTTATATTAATCGGCAGGTAGCAATCAATACTGATGCTCTATTTGGGGGGAGAAGGGAATGTTGGGGCTGGAATCAGAGCCTCATGTACTCTACCATAGTGACATCCCTGGAAGCAGGTTCATTTCTTCCTCTTTTTCCTTGAGAAAGGATCTTGCTGGCTTGCTCAGGCTGGCCTCAAACTCTTGATTCTCCTGCCTCAGCCTCCCGTCTGGCAATGGACTTTTGGTCTACTTCCAGATCTTGGCTACTGTGACTAATGGTGCTAAGAACACCATTGTGCTGTGAAAATCTCTGCCACACACCACTCAGTGCTTTTGAGGTTTACGTTCAAAGAGAGTTGCTAGATCACGTGTTAATCTTACTTTTTTAAATTTTATTTTTTTGTTTCTTGAAACAGGGTCTTACTATATGTCCAGGTTTACCTTGAAGTCTTCTGCCTCAGCCTCCTGAGCACTGGGATTACAGGTGTGTCACTACACCTGGTTATTTTAATTGGTTGAAGAATTCCTGTACTGTTTTTCAGAGACTACCAGGTTTTGTTTTGTTTTGTTTTGTTTTGTTTTGTTTTGTTTTGTTTTGTTTTGCTGAGCCTTAATCAGCAGCCCAGGGCTACAATATTTTGCATCCCTACTGAGAAGATCCAGGAGGACCTTTCCAACACTTGTTATTTTCTGGTTGGATTTTTGACAGTAGCCCTCTTCGTGTTCTGATGTGGAGGAGCCAGTGGGAAGCAGGGGTTAGGAGAGTTTCAGGGCACTCGCATCCATCCATTGAGACTTTCCCCCAGCAGGCTGCTGAGCACATGTGCCAGGTGACCAACACTTGTCCCCCAGCAGTGAGCTTCTGAGTGACCCCGAGCCTCCTGCTCAGAGAGGAAGTGTAGAGAAGCACCTGCAAAGGACAGACAGGCTCTGCCTGCCAAATCCGGATCACCACTGAAACAGCCCAAGAGGAGCAGAAAGTCAGATGAAAGTCAGGGCCTGCCGGTTGCTGCCCAGGGAGGGTGCAGAGTCCAGGGACCTCAGGCCCTCTGCAGCGGCCCAGCCTCACAGTTTTGTCCCGATACATCCTGGCCGGAGCAGTGGACCCCAGAAGGACAAGTGAGAACAGCAGGAAGCAGGAATGGCTAACCCTGCCAGAAGTAGAAAGTTTCGAAATGAGGTGAGAAGTCAAGCCTAAGAAATGGGCTTGATTCTGCACAGCCCACCCACCGGCCAGGGCCCAGCCCCTACCGAGCTCCCCGCCAGCACTGTGGCTGAGTGCTCCCCTCCATTTGCCCACTGCTGGGGCTCCTGCTTCTCTGCCGGGTCTACTCCTCAGTCTGCTCACAGGGCCTACCAGTGTTGGGGTTCCACCCAGCCTCCAATCTTTTTTCTAGTTTGGAATTTTTATAATGTGCCTATGTTTCACACAATTGCATCATTTAAGGTTTTTTTTTCATGCGTTTTTATTCTAAAATTATATTCAGAGCAAAATTAATGTCTTCCACCACAATATACCAAACATGGGCAACAGGCAAGGTCCACCTCCAGGACAAGTAATTGATCCTCTGTAAAGGACTTCAGAATTTCTAAATAACAAGAATTTTGAAACAATAATAAAGTAAGTTGAAAACACAAAGTCATTCTGCTTTTTATTTTTTGTGTGCTGTGCCAACCCTAAACAACACTAATCATAAGTGACCCTCCCACCCAAAGTGTCTCATGTTGGTCCAAGGTCTAAACCATTGAAAAACTCCCATTTTTATACCAGAGACTCAGCTGCCTCATGGGTTTTGAGAGTGCGTCCAAGACAGTCTGCAATCCTTGTAGGTCACTGTCAAGCAGTTAATGACCCCCAAAAGCTAGGGCTTCGAGCCAGTCTTGGTGGTACCCTCCTGCAATCCCAGCATTCTGAGGGTTGAAGTGAAGGGTTAAAAGCTGGAATCCAGCCTGGACAGTTTAAAGACTGAGCAAACCCTGCTTCCCTACACCACAGAAAGGGGAGGCTTTAGCTCATCTCCCTAGCCCTAACCTAGCCCTAATCTAACCCTAACCTTAACCTAACCCTAATCCCAACCCTAACCCTGACCCTAACCCTGACCCTAACTGAAGGTGTAAACTACTAAGAAGTGACTGCTCTTACAAAGTTTTGTCTAAACTACATGAGTCATTCTGCATTCTTCGTGATCCAGCGAAGCCGCTGCTATCTGCCCGGCCCTGGCTGCAGCTCTGGCTGTGGAGAGACCAGGAAAGCACAGGCAAGCCTGAAGGTCAGTGGTTCTGGAAGATGGTAGGTTGGTAAGGCCCAGGTTATGGAGAAAGATAAGACCAGAAAATACAAGGATACAGGATTACATCACCAGAGAACAAATTCCGGACAATCTGAGAGCAAGTTGATTGGATCCCTTATTTGATTCCTTTTTCTTTAAATGAGAGGTCTGGTAGACATCCAAAATAAAGAGCCTAGTGTTTTTCACATCTACCTTAAAACATGTCTGTGAATGTTTTCTCATCTAGTTCTTCAGGTCATTTATGAAATCTTCATGATCATAAAATCTTATCCCGTTCCAATAAGTATGTGATAAATAAAGCAGGCGTGAATCTATAACAATATCTATATATCTGCATCTATATCAATATCTGTATCTATGTCTATATCTGTATGCTCTATTTCTCAACTATGGAGGGGTTTCAGGTCCCCAAATTGTTCAGTTGAGTATTTTGTGTTAAAAGATGGAAATATGAGAATCTTCTTATTGTTTTGGTGGTGAGAAATCTAGAAAGAAGTAACTAGCTTAATACAAAAAAGTTAAGAGGGGCCAAGAGGTCGAAGATGAGGGGAAATATTTAACATACTCATTATTTTTCATGCAACAATTACACACACACACACACACACACACACACACACACACACACACACACGTTACCCTTGAAGGAAACCAGAATGCTCTCAATACTTTGGGAAAAAATTCATTCAACTAAATTCAAAGTAGTGAGGTTATCAACAGACAATTCTAATGTGAGAATTTCTTCTTTAGAATTCTCTTCTAAAGCGTGATGAACATGAAACTATGTGGTCCAAGGAACTCTGGAATGAAGATTAGTGAAAATAAACATTATCTATCTATCTATCTATCTATCTATCTATCTATCTATCTCTATCTATATTATCTGTATCTGCCTGTACCATGACCTGTGCTGTTCTGTGGAAACACCACTGGCTTTATCACTCATAATTTTAAACAACAAAAGGAAAAATGTATGCTCGTGTTGTAAGGAAACAGCCTGTATTGGAAAGGAGGGGGAAATGACCAAATTTCCTACCTGTAATTTTCATGATTCTGCTTTGAGTGGTGTCTTCACACGTAACATCTGACAACTTCAACATTCAAGATTGAAAAACTAAACTCTTCAAGGCAAGAATTAAAAAACTTGAGCAGGAAGTATTCTTGAGGCTAGCAAATTCATGGTAAGATACTCACACGTTTACATATGCGTATACTTTTTCTGCGTATGTGGCTTATTTTACAATCAAATTTCCAATATGCTTCCACGCACCAGCCGGGAGTCCCACCCCTGCAGCTGAGGCTGCTACCATGCCGTATGTGAACAGGCAAGTCCCATTTCTTTCAGGCTGACACAGGAAATACCACTCAGCCCTGGAATATATATGAACATCAGAAAACTTTCAAAGATGTAATGCAGGAAATCACCCAGGGAATATTCAAATATTCACAGCGTGCCTCACATTTTAAACACTTTCTTCCTCTTTTATACAAATGCTGAGCAAGCTTCCTGTGTTTCAAAAGCAGCCCTGATGAGCTCTCAAAACAGCAAATCCCACACACTGGCTGTTTTATCTCTTTACAGGTGCTGTCTTTCCTGATTCAAATTTTCCAGGACTGAAGGATGGCCTGAATCCTGGTGACAGGTGCTCAGGTTCAAGGTTCTATCTTTATGAGAACAGTAGCAAAATTAGGGACTCTCTCCAATGAGTTGCTCCTTGGAGTTCCTTCTGGCGGAAACCAAGATGCCAAGGAGATAAGACATAAGCTCCCAGTTCTTGAGGAGCTTCCAGGCCAGGTGGGAGGGGACCGTACAATGTCAGTAGCACAAATACAATGTTATCTGTGTGTCCCTGTTATCTGTGTGTCCTTACTTATACAATGGAGGTGATGTCACTTCACTGCGCTAAGGGTTAGACAGGTTGATTCTTGCAAACATGCAGGAAGGTGTCTGTCTGGTACATCGCATCAGTGCCATTTTAAAGGTTGTTTTCCTTACAGGCAAGTTACCAAATAAATGATTTTTTAAAAATTGCCTATGGGGGAGAAACAGTGGTCAAGAAGAGCAAACGCGTCTGTGGCGGCCAGGAGATTTTCCAGAACAAAACACAACTTCAACGTGGCCTTGAGAATCAAAGAAGAGCGGGTAAAAGACAAGCAGATCCCTGCTTTTTTCCCAGCACCGGGGACTGTGAGGGTTGTCCAGGGTGATGACACAGACTTTCAAACTCTTTTCATGGGTAATCCTGACAGACTTATTTCCTGTACCTTTCAAACCTGTTTTTCTAGGTAAGTTCAAGAAGCAGAGATGAACTGATTTATAATGTCAGCCCTGATATGATTTTGTTCTATTTCGAACTCACCCAGAACACAGCTCAGATCACTCACTGGTCACTGCCTCCTAAAACCCCCTGCAACAGGACAGTGCCCCAGAAGACCCTTAACAGGTGATACAGTGAGCAGACCAAAGCCGCTTTCAAAATATAAGACAAAGCCAGCCAGGTGACTTTTCCCAGTCACCACGGACCAGTGAAAGCCCCACAGGCCCTGAGTCAGTGGGAAGTTGTTTATTAACTGGCTTTGGGGAAACCCTGCCAGTGATTCAGCAGGAGAGGCTGGCCCGCTGCCTGCCGCAATGTCTCAAGGGTGTTTCCCTCCACGGTCCCCACCACTTAGGTAAGAGGTGAGTTTCTCCGGCTTCCGTGCTCCCCGTGAGCACCCTTCGCGGTAGGCGAGGGCACCAGACACGACACAACAGAGACTCCAGGGGACGCTGAGTAGATTCCAAGCGTGCTATGCAGACTAGGAATCGCCTGGGAATAAAATGCTGCAGGATTAATAATTGTGTTGTGACAACAGATAAAAATGAGCAATATGCCAGGGCCATCAGGACACAGGACCATCCCACTTTCAGGCTCTGAGGACTTTTCTTTCTTTCTTTCTTTTTCTTTCATTACTAAGGATGGAAATGCTAGCATTGTACTGAGCTAGATCCTCAGGCCCTTTTTAAAATTTTATATTCTGAGACAAGGTCTCACTAGTCTTTAATTAACCAGGCTAGGTTGAACATGGCTATCCTCTTGCCTCAGCCTCCCAGGATCCTGAGATTCAGGAATGCACGGAACACTCGGCTTAAGGCTTTATTGTCTGAGAATAAAGTTACTCATTTGTCAGTCCTTCATTGATTTCCAAAATCTGCCAGTACTGAAACACGAAAAGGTGTCTGTGGACGTACCTTAGCGGTAAAGCCACTTCCCAGCTTATATCTGGGCCCAGTAATGCTGCTACCGCCACTTCTGCCACAAGTAATAATAATAATAAAGGGACCCTGTCCCCTTCTTGGACTCTTACCTCAACCAAGACGGCACAGAGAGAGTACGCTGTGACTTCTGAGGCCAAACAACTGGTACCCGGTTTGCTGAAATACACATGTTCTGCCCTCCAGCTGCGAATAAAATGGAGATCACCTTGCTAGAGTGCCTGCCTGTTGCTTATCGACCGTCAATCCCATCCCACGTATTTTAGAAGCTGTCTAAAAATCGGATTCCACAGACCAGCACAGAAGAGCTATCCTCACTGGCTCAATCGTTCTCATTCTGTGTCACTAAGTTTTGAGTGGTTTGGTCATGGCCGTAGTGATTGAAGTCACAAGAGGCTAAGCAAGCAATGAGAAAGGACCCCAATCTGAAACACTCAGCATAAATAACCATTCTTTTTACGTCTGCTTCCCAAGCCACCTGGCTGCTTTTCAGGCTTGCAAGACCCTGGGGTAGCTGCCATAGGAAGCTCTGTGAGGAGAGTGATCAGGGGAGAAGTTGGAGAACAAACAAGAATCTACTGAGCTATACAAGGCCTTACAAGACACGTAAAGGAGTCTGGAGCAATAGCGAGCCTCTGAGAAACGGCAGAGCCCTGGAGACCTGCGCTCAGCCCTGCGTGCTAAAGGGATTACTCTGGTGACTGTGGGAGACGCCAAGACCGAAGGCATTTCGGAGACTATTACAGCAGCTGGAATACGACAACGGCAATGACAGGACAGAGGAGAAAAGGTGACCTTGAACTCGTGATCAAGAAATAGCAGCTATCTGGGCATGGTGATGCATGCCTGTCATCTCAGCACTCCAGAGGGTGACTCAGAGGGACTGTGTGGAGTTCAAGGACAGCCTGAACTAGAGAGGGACCCTGTCTTTAAAAAGAAAAAGAAAGCAGAATAGGAAAATCACTAGCTGAGGGAAACTGTTCAATATGACTCTCTACCCAGCTCCAGAAAATTACCTATTTTCCACCACAAAATCTAAAGGACAGAAACTTTGAAAAAGAGGTAAAAATGATCAGAAAATCCCTCCAGAGATACCTGCGGGGCATGCGCTGAGGGACGTTAGCCTGTAGATTGAAATACTCAGCTTTCTTCCTTCTCTTCCCTTTCTTTTTCTTCCCTTCCCTTGGAGACACTAAAGGTAGGATAAAACACAACGGGGAGATGACTTATAGTTGTTTAAAGGAGATCCATTTATATTTGCACTAATAAAAGCCAGGTTTCTCACTGTCGCAGAAACTGAAAAGGGAAAGCTGTAAACAGTCCTGAGAATAAGGACTGGAGTTCACAGTCCTGGAGGGGACTGAGTGGCGCTGTGTGTTCACGCATAGACTCATCCCGCAGTGCAGGGCCGGGGATGAGAGCAGGGCTCCCGCAAAATACAAATCTGTGGATGCCTAAGTCCCTAATAATCATTTGGTCAAATGATTAGGGGAAAAAAGGAGCCAGGAGGAGCATGAATTCAAGGTTAGCCTGGCCTACACATGAAGCTCAAGGGCCTCCCAGACTATGTAAGAGGACCCTATCTCAAAAAATCAAAACAACACTAAACAAAAGAGCAAAACAAAAAAAAAGAGAGAGAAAGATAAGAAAAGATAGGTTGTGCCTTTCATATGGTCTTTCCCAGAATCACAGAATTTTTTAGAGGTAATTTAAATATTCTATAAATAGTTCAAATTTCTTTTCTTTTTTTTTTTTATTTTATTTTATTTTTTTGGTCTTTTTCCTTTTTATCGGTACCAGGGATTGAACTCACGACTGCCTGCTTGCAAGGCAGGCGCTTATGCCGCTGAGCTAAATCCCCAGCCCCTAGTTCAAATTTCATTTTAAGGCTAGATAGACTTTCAAATGTATAAAAAGCGAAAAAAAAAAAAAAGCATATACCTTTATCATTCCATGAAAAATATTTTTTAAAAATCTGCACTACCATGAAATAGATTTCATGCAAAACAAGAACTTGCCAATCATTAATTCAAGCCATTTCTTAACTTTTCTAAGTAGATATTTGAATTTTTGTAAATGATTATTCATTAATATACATACCATTGAATTTGGTCCCTACCTGCAAGAATTATGTATTTTCTAGAAACTCTCAAATTTAAAAAACAGAACTAATCTGAACACTAACACTGATCTAACCCTGAAGCTATCTTTCCTGACTCTTGACTTTGAATACAAATGTTTACTAGAACAACTTTGTTAGCATCACTGACTTTATAATAAGTAAACATCACAGTGTGTGTGTGTGTGTGTGTGTGTGTGTGTGTGTGTGTGTTTCTGGAGCTGACACCCAGGGAATCCTGCATGATAGGTAAGCACTATTCTGCTGAGTTACACCTCAATTCTTTTTGTTTTATTTTTGTACAGGATCGGCTATAGTGCCCAGACTACTTTCTTGGGTTGTTGTTGCTTTTTTGTTTGAGACAGGCTCCTCTTTTGTAGTTCAGGCAGACCTCAAACTCACTGTGCAGCCCAAGCGATCCTCCTGCCTCAGCCTTCCAAGTACTGGGATTACAGGACTGCATCAGCTGCTATTGTTTTTATTGATTTTAGTTTTTTTTTTTTTTTTTTTGGTGGGCTTCTTGTTTTTGGCTTTTTATTTGTTTTGTTGTTGTTGTGTTTTTTGAGTCAGGGTTTTGCTACATAATCCAGGGCTGCTTTGAACTTCTGTATAGACACTGCCAATCTCAAATTGGTGATTCTCCTGCCTCAGCCTCATGCAGTGCTGGCATTCCAGGTCTCACAGGCTCATCTCCTCTTTCATTGTGTTACATGGTCCGTAGCAGTAAGATTTAAAAGCCTTCATGAGAAGGGTAGAGGGTTGTTAAAGATGGTGACCATAATGCTTTAAAGGGTCTATTTTGCCAGATAACTTGGAAAACAATGAAGTTAATGACAGACAGTGTCATCTGATGTCTTTAGTTCCTTTATAGTACAAGAACCTGGGTCTTTGCATCACATTGGAGCCAACTGACCAACTATAAATAGAGTCCTTTAATGTCTGAGCATCATGTGCTCAATGTATTGGCTTCTCTTCCACTTGAAGATACAGCACCACAAAAGAAGACACTAATGACCATGAAAAGCTATTTTAGTTAGAGATTTCCACATCATCAGGTCCTTCTAGAGCATCAGAGAACTGATTTTCACCCAGGGAAATTCTGCACCACTTCTGCCCCTGACATTTGGCAATGCAGAAGACCCTGGATGTCACCTCTAGGAACTGCTGCTGGCCTCGAGCGAGCAGGGTCCAGGAATTCCGCAAGCACTCCAAGATCCACAGGACGACCTCCCACACTAAAGAACAGCACAGCCACCAGGACCAACAGTGCAAGGTCAGGAAAATTCTCCCCTAGATGGCTAAGGGTAAACATTAGACTCCTCTAGATCCATTCCAGAACTCCTGTGTGTTTTCACCCTTCTTTCCATGATAGTACTCCAGTAACAGGTTGAACTTTGCACGTTGCTGTTTGATCTGCTCAAAAAATGGAATTCTGTATGGCATGAAGTTGGCTTTCTCTCACCTCCCTCAAATTTGAAATTACTTACTCCTTCTTTCCTTTAGGAAGACAATATGGAAAGCTCTTCATAAACAAGCGAAAAGCCCAAATAAATACACACTGAAATCTTAATCTTCAACTTTATAGGTCAAAAGGATTAACATATAGAATATATAAAGAGCTAGGCTGGGTGCAGTGGTGCACACCTGTAACCCCAGCACTAGGAAGGCTGAGATGTCACCACCTGTCATGTGACACAGCTCCAGCACCCACTCTCATTAGAGCAATGGTTAGTGTAGCCCTGCTGGTGACAAGCCCGTTGTATTATCTGGTTTGTTGAAACACTCGCAATACTTTGAAGTTTTCCATTTCTACATTCACTGAATCTTTTACACCAAACTCTTAAATTAATGAACAACCATTTGTACAAATAAAGTATTTATAAAATTGTTTAGAACTGATTGGAAGGAAAGGAGTTTTAATGTGTCTAGAGACTTCCTTTCTGTTGGCTTATAGAGGAGTATCAGGGAGGAACAAATTAAAAGCAAAATCAATTGGACCGTTTCCCAAGGAAAATTCCACTAACTGTTCCGTAGAATTATCTCCAAGACAAATTCGGCCCGAGGGAGTCAGACTTCATGTTGAGTCAGTTCTTCTTTGTCACAGCAGAAGGAACTGGGAGGTCGCCCTGGCCTCCGGACAACCCCAGCCCTTAACTCATCTCTATCTCAGCCAAACTGTAGCGCAATTGATGGGACTTCGGTTTCTCCACGTTCCAGTGGGGAGGTCTCTCCCACTCTGCACAGGAACACTGGAGACGCCCAGGCCTTCGCAGCAAAGTGGGTTTTCCCCACAGAATCACTCTCTCCATTTCATGCTGAGTTTTGCAGTGGTCAATCACAGAGGGCCTGGGCAGCGCTGGTCTAGCTCCCACACATGGAGCCAGCACCGTGCAGCCCTCTCTGTTGAGTACACCAACAACACAAGTGACTCAACTCAAAATGTTATATTAGTTTGATTGCCTTATGATCAAGACAAACACCTGGCCACTAATCTGTAGATTTTCCTGCCAGAGCCTTGATGGCTCACGATAGCAGGATGGAGAGCTTTTGCCCAGCACTGTTTCTCAGTGCTGACCACCAGAACTTTCATCCTGATCAGCTGCCTCCAAGTCTCATCAGGGTGAACCCCAAGGTTCCCCCATTCCTTCCTGCACCATGCACCGTGCCTGACTCACCAGGAGGAGGCCGATCCTGGCCATGCAGAAACCGAAAGCCAGGTTTTACTATCTATCTCTTCCCTTCCTCAGCTTTCTCCTGAGCATCTGGAGATCACCGTCAGCTTCCGAGGTAAGATTCCTCAGTCCTAGGAAGGAAACACCCTAGTCACGGCTTCCCGTTCCTTTCCACTTAACTGATTTTTTTTTTCTTTGAGGAATTCAGAAATGACACAAAACTATTTCCTTCATTAAATATACAACATTAAAACAGCAATTACTTTGAAAATGTGCTCAGTAGATAAGCTTGGATTCCTGAACCATCTGAACAGTTGTTTTCTTGAGTCTCCACAGAGGTTTTCACTTAGAAACATAATTTGAGAAAAATGACAGTCATGGTTGCCAGTTTTATAAAAATCACTAATACATTGAATGCAGGCCAAGATTCTTCATCAGTGAGCTCCGTTAATCAGGTTTGGCAGAAAGATTAACAATGTGGCTCTGGTTAACAGAGGATTCATTCTGAGGAAGATACTCAGCTACAGGAGAGGCAGCTGAAGAAGCTCTTTTAATCTGGTAGTGTGACATAATTGGATCCACCCAACATGAGGCCATTTTCCAGAGAAGTTGTTAAGTCAAAACAATCTCTACTACTATATTGAAAATATATGAATTTTGTATTAATATAATAAATGCAATCCAAAGGGCCAGCTCCTCCTTTAAAATCATCACTCTTGGTTCATTGTATGTCCTGGATGATGAGGAAGCTGATGATGGTGGTGGTGATGTGTGTGTGCTACAAAATGGGCTCTTTTCCAGGCGTGGTGGTTCACACCTGTAATCCCAGCACTCAGGAGGCTGAGGCAGGTGAACCACCACAAGTTCTAGGCCAGCCAGACCTATAGAATAAGCTCTAGGAAAGCTTGAATTATACATCGAGATCGTTTCAAACAAAACAAAACAACACAAAATAGGATCTTCACCCACAATGAATAGAGAAAGCAGCTGTTAGAGAAGTTAACCGGTCTGCATCGGTTTCTACAAGGAAGCAAGCCAGGGCTGGCTGGAGTGGTCCTAGAGCCTGCGTGAAGGAAGGGTAACGCCAGCTGCTGGTAGAGATGGAAGGTGCTGCGGGCTGTGGCAAAGCGTGGAGGTGACAGAGGGACTGCTGAGACAAGGTGAAGCCCTCAGAGTCGTAGCCCTGGTGGCGAGGTGGCGGGGGATCTCTTCATCGACAGCCAGCCTGAGCCTGGTGGCTGAGCAGGCGTCAGTGTGCTGGTGGGAATGCAGGGCCCTTGCACAGGAGCAGGCAGAGGTGGGGACAGCAGGGCGACTGGGAGCCTTAGCTCTGGACTGGTCTACTCACAGCACGACCTCGGGTATTAACCTCCCTACATTCCACTCCTTTGCTACTAAAAG